TGGGGGGAGAGAGAGAGAGAGAGAGAGAGAGAGAGAGAGAGAGAGAGAGAGAGAGAGAGAGAGCATACCAAAATGCATGCTGTTCACCAGGCCAAGTGCCAGGCTCACTAGGTACTTGTAGAGCCTCTCAGCTCACCTCTCCAACCCTCGGCTTTCCCTTCCCTTCCCTCAGCTTCAGATTCCTATGTAAGCCTGCTAGTGCAGCCATGTGCCCCCTCTCTCTCTTGCCCCCCATCCCTTGGTCCACTCGTGCCCTCCCCTCCTCTTCCTTGGCTTCATCTCGCTCCCCACCCCCATCCCCCGGTTTAGTCTACTGATCGTATTTATCAGTCTATTACATCTCTCCGTGCTCTGGACTCTTCCAGACACCTCTCCCTCGTATCTATAATAAAATCACCCTCAGCTGTACCTTGGAGCAGCCGTGTCCTCATTTTATTCACCTGGTGCTGGAAACTGGGGAGGGCATACATGAGCTTCCTTCCAAGGGGAGTGGCCTCTCCTAACCCAACCAAGCTGCTGATTCAACTCGCTTAAGGTACACATGGCTCATTTGTTTCTGCCGGCTTCTGCCACCCACCATATTTGTCTCCAAATTTTCGAGTCCACCTTCTCAGCTGCTTCTTCCTTCCCTTCACCTCCTCTAACTCTGGTCTCTCCTTACCTACTCGGCAAGTTCTCTTTCCGGCCCATGAAACCTGCTACATCCTCCAGGGAGCCCACCCTGTGGGTATCTCTCTACTAAGACACCTCCCCCTCTTCCTCTGTTGGAATCCTCCCTTTCCCCCCAAAGCCCCACCTTTTCAGTTATTTTTCTCCTACCTGCTCTAACCGCTAGTCTCTTCTCCTCTACTGGATAAGTGGCACCCAGAGCTGCCTACTTTGTCTCTGTGGGATTACCACAAAAGCCACATTGATATGCTCACCCTACTGAGCCCCTATCACGTGGCAAAGGATGCCTCTCATCTGTGATTTGGGACATTTCTGACAAGTCTCTCAGTCAACTTAGGGACACCCGTACTCCTTACTCCCTTCCTGGCCCTACACAACCCTTCCTCTCTTCTTCCTCAGACTCGGGGATTTTACTAAAGCTTTGCTGTGTTACTGCAAACATGTTGGCCTCAGAACACCTCAATAGTCCAAGAATGTCACCTTCAATTTTCAGATTGGCTTATATGGTAACAATGTCTGCCATTGCACAAACCAAAGATCCTCAAATCTCTTGTAGCTAATCTTTCTCTGTTCTACACGTCTTTGGACGTCTCTAAGCTTTTTCTACTGTCTGCTCTTGAAAATCTTTTATCTTTGTGATGTCTTTGTTCTGTGCTCTCAAAAACTTGTCTTAAAATTACTAATGTAAACTCTGTCTCAGGATTTAGAAGATTTGGGGGCATGGTTAAAAATCTGTAACAAAATGTTGATGGTTAAACACACACACACACATAGTTAATCTTAATTTGCTACAGAATATTATATGTGATTCAATTCTTCTTTAGGAAAATACTTGGTTTTGGATAGCAACCATGTCTCCTGCCTGCGTCTTGGCATATAACCTCATCAGGATGAAAGCAATCAAGCAGCCATCTTTACTAAGGTTGGTTTTTTTTTTTTTTAAGAGTATATGCACGTAACTTAACTACCATAT